CATGCATAATAGAACAGGCCAGTCTTCCTGACTTAGTGTTAACATAAGACATTTGAAGAATGAGCTCATACTCTGACAATGATCGTCATATGGCGAACCATAGCTCAATTCGTTGTTACCCGAAACTAGGGAGGATGTCTTGCGGACTTTGTCAACCTGTGCGTCGTATTTCAGCCAAACGGCTGCAGCATAAAAGGCATCAACCTTCATCTTCCGACCTACGAATCTCTTCATTATGCATTCTCATACAAAATGGAAGTGTCCACAACGATCTTGGCTCATGAGGCTCACCTAAGCCCACTTTTTCTTCGTAACTGCAGCAATAAGGTCAGACCAATTCTGTGTCGCTTTAGTTTATCATCTGCCCACTTTTGACCATCATTAACCTACTTGTCAACGATTCCAACCATTTCTTGAATTTTTTTGGTGGCTTTACAATAAGCGTAAGTGTGAAGACCAAGAAGTCGTTGTCATCTGTATGGCAACAGTCTCCTCTTTCTCAATACATCTCGCCTGAGAAAAATGGTTTCACTCACTGGATGCCTTACGAGGACAAGTATACAACTCTGTCTTCTGCCTTGATGGTCATGCTTCGTTGAACAGGTACATTCGTAAGCCCTGTTTCGGCATTTCAGCCAGCGTTGTCAGCGCAGTGAGCGAGGTGTAAAGGCAGAACCCAAATCTGGCAATTTGAAAAGGAGGTGCCACTCAATGTACATAAGCATCAATAGACATCAATAATTAAATTGACGAAATGGGATTCCGTGCTTAGCATGTCTCGTATCATCAACAATTCCACCTACAGTGTTCGTAACAAGATTGAGCATGTGTCTGGTCGATGATACAAAGTGATGACGGCGAACGTCAAAGGTTCTCTGTAGGCCCCAAGTCGATAGAAGGATAAAGAGTTCAAACTAAAGTTGGAGGCTTGAAACTTGCATATCATACAAGTAAGGAAAAATCCGTTTCGGCCTCACACTAAAATTCTCTCAAAAGCAATTTCCACTCCTAGCAAAGCCTCTCTTAGGTTAACTGAGGCAGATTAACTTTCAATATTAGTTGGTCATGGATAAAAACTGTATCTACTATAGGCCACACTAGAAGATGAGGAACCGATAATTGAATTTCTCCTCACTGGCAAAAATAGGTCTCGCAATGTCATTCAATTAATTTGGCTTTTCCTGCCATTTTTGAGGGGGTTAACCTTCAAGAGACGCCACCATACTGCTCGTTTTATTATCCTGCCATAAGAAAAAACACACATTAGCCTCAATTTTCATACAGATTTTCCACACAAACTTTTAGCTTGCTAAGCAGTTAACACAAACTTGTCAAATATGCTAAGAAGCTCATTTGTAGAAAAGGCCATAACCAAACCAGAAGTGGTGGTTTGAAGACAGCACAAAGACATCTGCTTTTGCAACTATGGCCTCAGGCCTAGAAAGCTATTAGGAGTCAGTGAAAGAAGACGAGTGGGCCTCTTTTTGATTGGTCGCAAACTGTATGATCATTTATTTGCCTTGTCTCTTCGTATTGGTCACCAGCGTCGTCAACGAAGTGCAGAATCCTCACACGTCTTGCCTACTGGACGGGTCGATCTAAATGCTACAAGGACGTTTCGGGTCTCGTGATTCGAATGTGCGCTACTTCTCCTGCGGGCTAAGGGCGATCGGTTCTGTCATTTCTTCTCGAGATAGTCGTCTTCGGACGTGGCTGGCCAGAAGTGGGATCAGGCCAAGAGGGATCAATGCCCGGCCTGTCTGACTCGGCTGGTCTGTGTGACCTGAGCCGTTTAATACAGAACAAGGCTTTGAATCGGCATCGCTTGGTCCCATTCGTGAAGTGGAGCCTTCATCACTCCACCACAGAGCCCGCTCCGGGCGAGGTTGGTACGCTAGTCCGCTTGACCGGAGTGTCCCAAATATAGGGAGAAATTAAGGCTCATTTAGCCAATCCAGTTCGCCCTCTCTCTCTTTCTTTCTATATATATATATATATATATATATATATATATTTCTCTCTCTCTTTGTCTCTCTGGACTGGGCAAAATTTGGCCCAAACCAGCGGCAAACCCAGCCGACACGATGTGCCGGCCGACAGTGCAGTCTGGATTAGCCGTAGCTTGCCTGCTAGAATGTGCGCATTCACCGGTGTGATCCGGTCAGTAGTTTGATCCCAACATGAACATTCATATCACCGCCACCCCTCTACACTCCCGCACCCTGCGTTACCGACACATCTCAAAGTAATTGTGATCTCACCCATTCACAGACTAGACTACACGTGCGCCCCAATGCACCCTAGTTGCACTTAATTGTCCCTCATTTCTTGGTCTGTCCTCCGTCGACAGCCCGGATCACACCGGAGTGTGAGGAACTATGAAAAGCTGTCCTCGAATGGGTGGACAACAGCTTGTATTCGCTGTACTTCTTCACTGATGTATGGACGCGCAGGTGCGTGCGTGCCAATGCATGTGTATCTAGGCTACTACATACTTATGAGCATGTGATGAAGTCTGGAGGATGTACCTGCGAAGATAACTTGGAGAGATTTGTGTCATGATAGGCTTGGGATAACAGAAAAGTGAATATTTGCTCTTTTTATTCACCCATGCCCATCTGCAGGCACCATCATCCCATCCTATTTGTGTGTGCGTTGTCTGTGTGTGCGCATGTGCGCGCGTGTGTGTCTTAACCTACCTGTGCACCGACCTGTTTTTATGCTCACGTGTTGGATCATACACCAATGCTTCATAGAGTCGAAATTATGCAAGAAAAAATGCCCACTAGTGGCAAGAAGAGCCGGAAAGTGTGGATAAGTGGACTGGCAGGTGGATGGAAATAATTGGTATGGAGGCTAGTGGGAGAGTGGAAGCCGTCTCGAGACGATGGGTTGGACCGGAAAAAGTGTGATATATGGGCAAAATAGAGTGTTTATGTTGGTGGGAGGAAGATGGCCTATGCGGGTCGAGAAAAGATACGACCATTTGCACCCCTGGGGAGTCTAGATCTGTGTTCCTCACGGAAAGAGGTAAAGAGACCTGACAGGCTAATTAGCCAGACTGTGGCAAATGTGAGGCGATCTGCTCTGGACAGGCAGAAGACACCGTTCGCCAAGCCTGCTACCCTTCAGTTCAGTGACTTTGCGAGCGGCCCCAATCCCATCCCCCTAAGCCCTGCCCTTGGTCAGACTTCGCATGCCCCAGAACTCAGACTATCATACACCCCTTCTTCGTCCACCACTTTGCCCGCTATAGCAACCGGTACAGCCGCATCTATAATCTTGAACAGCACTCCTATCGACGCTTCAAGTAGTTACACTCCCATCAGCAGCACCATTACACTCGCCACCACATTAAACACTGACGGACTGTTCTGTCTCCCACCGCCTCACTTTTCGATTTCAACATCTTCACTTTCTGTGGTTGGTCCCAACGCACCGGGTCGCTCGATTGCGACTTCAGCCACGACCAGTAGCCCCGTGGCTTTGCATTTCTCTGCTAAATCGTCATTGAGAAAAACACTTCCAGGCGACTGGAAATTCAGCAAAGCTACGGACTTTCAGACATCCCCGGATCAGGCTGGCAATCAAGTGGTACATTCAAGCTTCACGGCCCTCCTGCCAAAAGAAGCATGCTCTCAGGCTCCAGCGATTGCGCTTGAAGAGGTAAAAGTACCAGTCTGGACAAATTTAAGCCCATCCAACCCAGCCTCTGGCGTGCCTGGAAAAAAGGTAGCAAGACAGCACAACTTGACCGAAGATTCTCGAGCTCGATATTAACTACTTCGCGGTGGATTGGTCACATTCTTCGGTCTTTTCGCACAAGAGCCGACTGAATCCGCCAACCCGAACTCGAGAGATCCTACTAAAGGAGGAAGACATCCGCGACAGGGTCAGGGAGGCGAAGAGGTTATCCAGAAAAGAAACATCGACCAGGACTTCAGGCATCCAGTACAAACTAGAGGTTCAGAACCTGTGGATGCAAAGACTGAGAGCTGTCAAGGTGAAGACATTTCGGAGCAAATACAGGATCAACTTGACGCGGAGGAGAATCGTGGCGACGCGTTGAGCGAAGTGAATGAGGACAAAATCTTGACCTGCCCGACACTGAACGTTTGCCTCTAGACCAACTTCGCCAGATCTACAGATTCCCACGAGGCGACGAGCTTCACTTGGACAGTCTATCGCGGCTTATTCAGCAACAGGAACAGTATCAGGAAGACGTAAAACGACAGGCCTTCAGATCTGCACCGCCGATCCCCAGTTTTAGTGGACAGGGCTCTGTCAGCCTGACCCGGACTCTAGCCCCTGTCACACGAGCCCCTTTGATGATACCATTGAATGCACTCCATGCACCCTCTCGGAAGTTGAGTGCTCTCTCCCAACAGGACCTGCTGGAGCTGTTGACTTTTTGAGTACAACTACCTGACAAGACGTAGAATCAAAAGAG